GGGCAAAATTCCAGCCCTGTAACCAGGTAAAAGAGAGACTATACTTTCTCCAGAATCCACTTTGTCCCTTTCAAAATTCCTGCCAACAACTATAATATAAGAACTGATCTAAGAGGAAGAAACAAAGAAGTGATAAGGGCACAAATGTGCTCATTACATCCTTAGGAAAAATAACTTGCTACATTCTCTTTTCCTACCTAAGCCACGCCTCTCATTCTTGATACTACAGGTACAAGCTTTTACACTTACTTCAGAGAACTAAGAATATTTGTAATTACTTAAATTTATGATCAGTTGAAAAACTTAGGTACTTTCCACTAGACTACAGCTGAGCTCAATAAAGGCTGAAATTGTTTTATATCACTCAGATACAGTATCCCTCACTGCTAGTGAGTAGAAGGCTTAATAAATAGTAAATATGGCACCAAGTAAATGAAAAAAGCAATGGAATTTTTGAAAGCTTTATTGAGAGGTATTTGACTATCTCACTGTCCCATAGGATTCATGTACACTGTTATTGTTTTCTAATTTGCTTTGTGATTAGGTCATCTAGGGAGATGAGGAAAGCAGAATGAATGCCAAGTTTGTTTATATTAAGTCAGACTCAAGCTAGAAAATAAAATAAGAGCTTGCTACTAACAATAAATTCTGCCCTCAAGAAAGTTTTAGTTCCTAGAGGTACAAAAGGTCATTTAAAAAACACTCCACAAATGAAAATTAAGATATCCCTAAGAATGACCAAGTCTGAAAAAGTAAAGAAGTAATATGGTACAAATACCTGAATTGAATATCACAACTTAAGGACTTGTCATCCCATAGCCATTAATGGGAGACAAAAATCTGGATGCACTATAGTCAAATAGAAGTCACTAAGTAAAGGGTATAGTAGCCTTAATTCTGTTGAAGATTCAACCCCAGTCTTCCAATGCTGTGGAAGCTATAGGTACAAAGCTATCAAATAGTGATCTATAATGAGTCACATAGTTGTCACCAGCTACCATTATGCTAAGAGAAGGAAGATTCCAGAACCATGTAATGTCATGCAATAGGGGTGAACAGGAGAGAATGAGAAGACGATCTATCAAACCCAAGGAAGCAGGCACTGGTATTGGGAGTCTGATATTAAAAGCATAATTCTATCAGCTTCTGGTAAGGTTAGAAAGAACTGAGATGGACCAATAAACTGAATTCCTTTACCTAATAAAAAGCACATCTAACATAACCTCCAGAGACTGCAATTAGTACTAGGAATAGAGCAGAATCCAGTTTGCTTTTAGAGGGGGATGGGGAAACCACATCTTGTGGTGCTCGGGGCTTAATCCTGACTCTGCCAGGGATCACTCCTGGTGGTGCTCAGAGGATCATACTGGGTGCCAGGGGTTGGCCATTTGTAAGGCAAACTCAAGGCTGTACTACCTCTCTGGCCCCAGCAGAGCAGAATACAGACTCAAAATGAGGTAGTGTGAGAAAGACACATATTTCGAATAAATTGTCTTATATTCCAGCCCCCCCCCATGAAAATATAGAACAAAATGGAGCCATGCCCAAAAAAATGGAGGCATGTCATAAACAGCATCTGTGGGGAGCCAATTGCAGTATCCCTCAAGGGTAATATGTGGAGCCTCCCCAATTTGTACCCTAGTCTCATCTAAATGGCATGTGTCCACATTCAGCTTTGTACTTCTTACTTCATAGTCTCAGCTCTCCTCTCCCTGTCCCTTTTACATCACTGACATCCAGTGTTAGTGGTTGTATAAATAATCATATAATCAGTGTATTGCTCTGGGATAGTTGTAGAATCTGCGGGTCCCAATACAGAAAGAGAATGTGGAATCTTATGAAACCAGGGGGACAGGAGAATGTGGTGGTTGAAGTTACCAAAACATAAATTTTCATTTTCTGCTTTATTTTTGCTCAGCCAAGAAAAAGTTAACTTTATGTTGCTAACATAACTTTTACTGTTTATCTTTTCATTGGGCATGATGGTTTGATTGGTTGATTGACTGATTATTTTGTTTAGATCCCACCTGGCTCTGCTCAGGGTTACTTCTGGCTTTGCTCTTGGGAATTACTCCTGACAGGGCTCAGGGGACCTTTGGGGGTTCCAGGGGTAAAACTCATGTAGTCCGCATCCAAGGCAAATGTCCTATTTTGCTATACTGTTGCTCCAGCCCAATAATGATTTTAAATGCACATATAAGAGTATTGACCTCATATGTGAGATCACTAAATTATACAATTTATATTTTGTTCTTATCAGAATAGAAACACTGTGCAAAAGTAACGCAACTGCTTTTATTACACTTTTGTTATGATTCTACTTATACTCTCCACATTCGGCATATTGATGACTGAGAATAAGTAAAGAACTGGAAGAAAAAGGGAACAGTTGACTTCTATGTGATGTGTTTAAGCATGATTGATTGGAATATACAAGAAAATTGGAAGGATTAGATTGTATTCCTTGGTCTTTTGTATTTCTTTGAACACCATGGTCTGTCCTTGAGAATCAAGTGAGGACCTAGGAGCATTAACTCTAATGATCTGTACTGTGTACAATATATTACAATTGGATCAGCCCCCAAACTAACACCAGTGTCTAGGTCAACTGCATAGTTGTTGTTGTTGTTGTTGTTGTTGTTGTTGTTTTTCACATAGAACGTACCTTCATTTTATTATCTTATAAGATTTGTCTTTGTGGCTAGAGGTAAAAAGAAGAAAGACAATAAAGGAAGTACATAACGAGGGATTTCTGTGACTAATTTTTATCCATCATATTTTCAGTCCCAAGGGTGCTAAACTGATTAAATACAAACATAACTCCTGACCAGTGTGGCTTTGTGGGGCTCTCAGGGCTCATTTCCCTTACCACAAAGATAATTTAATTCAACAAATATTTATTGAGTTTTACCATATGCTTACTGTGACAATGCCAAGCCCAGCTTAAGAGGCAGGACAGATACTAAAATCTGGCTGTAAATCAAGGTTTTCTCCCTTGAACCACAAAATGGAATCAAAGAATTCTGAAAAATAAAAAGGAGATTCTACAAAGAAAACCGTGGCCACACCTCCTGTCTGTGCTCAATTATATACTTCCCCACCTTGAAACTGGCTCTGTCAGTACTCTTAAAATAAATTATAGTGAGAAAAGAAACCGAAGGGCATGTTTAAAGAGCTTTGGTTTCTATTTCTTAGGCTCATTGATCCTACGAGGTAACACCAGGAAACACAGAGTAGAGGCTCTGGAAGAAACTGCTTTAATTTTACCACTAGGGCTTCTGCTAAGATGAAGAAATTCTGCCAATCTAATTGAAAAAAAAAGTTATTCAAATTAATTTTGAACCTAATCTGACCATTTTTTGTGCAGGGAGTGATTTAAGAAGAAATAGTTCATTCACCCATTCATCCTTGAAATATTTTCTGAACACTACTCAATGTTAAGCATTGAGCTGATACTACATCCAGTAAGATACTGCTTTCATCAAGATTTTTTTCTCAGTCTAGTTGGAGAGTCTTTCACATAAAACACAAATATACTGCAATATGACAAATGTATGGGTCAAATAGTCTAGGACATTTTAGGAACTGGCATGAAACTAATGCCTGACATTCATAGCTCCTAGTATAGTAGGTTTTTCATAAATAATTTGTCAATGTCTGAATGAATAAATGAACACAAAATTTCTAAGAGGAATTAATGACATTCATTATCTTTTCTTCCATACTCTATGTATTAAAGTATCTCTCTCTTCCTATCTTCTCATCTTACCCACAAAGGGAGATGACTCAAAAGGTGAGATATGTTATATTTAGTAAATATAAGGTTAAGGAAGAAGAAAATATATCCTAGAACTGAGAAACATGAAACATAAATGCTGGTACTAAACTAGAGAAAAGTATCATTAAACACCAATTGCTACATGTGACAACTAGCTAGAGAGAAAATATCAGAAATCTTGAATCAAAAAAATTTCAAGGTTATATATACAGAAATCCAATAGAGAATATTGAATATAGCAAGACTTGTAGGATATGTAATAACACCATTAAAATATAGAAGACTGTTTTTTAAAGGAAGAAGAAGCTTAAAACAGGATGAGAGCCTGTAATGGTGGCTAGAAAGAACAAAACAAAAAAGGGGAAGATGACAGCACAAATTAAACATGATGAAATATCCCAAATGAGGTTGAGAGAGGAAAATGCTGTCAGTGACAGAGGAAATGTGCTTTCCCAATATATTATTGTGGTTAATGGTGTCTTCACTGTTAATTCAGAATCTAACTACAATTTGTTCCATAATCTAACCTCATCCTTGGTCTTTAGGTTTTTCTCTATAAAACAGTTCTCATATCTTTTCAGAGTAAATTGTAACTATGACTTCCTATTGAAACACAAAGCTTTTAGATCTCAGACATGATGGAATAAGTTTTCTACAAGGTCACCCCCTAAATTCTAGCCCTAAGGGAAAAATGTACCATGTGAAAATTTTATGCATACATCATTCAGAAGTAAGGAAAGAAAAGATGATCATGAAAACAGCTTGAGTCTAACAGTTTTCAATTAAATAAAACTCTTAGCACTCAATTTAATTCTTTATTTTCTTCCCATCCAATTTTGCAATGATAGATTTCATAATGTAAGTGCCTGTTCCTTGTGCTTTTTCCACTTTGTAATGGTGGATAGAGTTTACTTCCCTGCCATTTGACTTTAAGTTGAATTATATGATTTGACTTGGGTTGTGCTTGCATGGCCTACCTTGTCCTCTATGAAAAAGAATATGTGAAGGGTATGGGAGATTGTTCAGTGTTCAGGGATCTGTACACGACCTTAATTAAAACCTTGACACCACATGCCACCCTGGGTACAACCAGGTGTTTCCCTTGAAGGCCCATATCACCACCATCACAGTCCTGTTGGTTCCTGGACTACAGAAGCTTTGCATCCTTAGGCCCTAGCACTGAACCACCTTGAACTAACCTGGCTGAATAACACTGAAACTGGGTCTTTTCAACACTGCTTTGAAGACTCTACCCCCCCCCCAAAAATAAAAACATTGTAAACAGCTGATGGATCAGGCAAATAGAGATGATCTGGGCCCAACTTTTAAACTACAGCTAAATTTAGATTCACTCTATATCACCCAAATATCAGTCAACACACAGATTCTTCTCTTTTTCTTTTTTTTTTTTTGTATTTTTGTTTTTTAGGTCACACCTGGTGATGCTCAGGGGTTACTCCTGGCAGTGCTCAGAGTAACATAGGGGATGTCTAGGATCGAACCAGCGTTAGCCACATGCAAAACAAGCCTTATCCAGTGTTGTATCTCTCCAGCCCAACAGACAGATTCTTAAACAAGAAACGGGAAGCTTGCTGTTGGAAACCATTGAAATTATGAGACTTCTTTTTTAATATATAGTGTCATTGTAGCCATAGGTGACCGAATTACTTCAGGAATTCAAAGCAAGTTCGCTTAGACTTATAAATCATAAATCAAGAGCCTATGATTATAGTGTGATGGTCAAAATGTTACAAATTGTATAACTCTCCCATTCTCCTGATCAACTACTTAAGAACTAGAGTCTTCTTTTCCACAGCAGAGCCCAGGTGAAAAACTGATTTTTTAAACCAAAATTAGCCTCCTGACCGTTGGTAGGCACTCATAGCAATTCCCAGGAAGGTATCAAAGCTTTATAGGCATGATTCAGGGTCTCAGGAGTTGGAAAATTGTAGAGGACCCAGTGTATCAGACACATCCTTTCATCATGATCTTGGTTTGAAAACAATGTGTCTGCTTGTAGCTGACCCTTTATTTTATTTTATCAGTCATCAGGAATATTTAAAGAGTCATAATCTGACATGGCTGATGCAAGAAAGAACATCAATTTATTTATCAGATCCATTTATTTATCCTCCTTTGTTCAAGATCCTCCTACTCTTTTATTGTGTCTTTGTTCTTCAGATATGTACTACAAACATCTTAATTTCTTTCGCATGTGACACAAGAGCTTTTCAATATTGTTTGACATCCTCGTATCTGGATCCTGCATTTTCTTCTAATAACATTGAAGGTAAACTACACAACTAGAGTTATTGAGTAATCCGGCACTTACCAGTTAAATTAGCTAAAGCCAGATCATTCAGCTCTTAGTTTTAGTTGCCTCATCTGTGAAATGGGGATTATTGTTCCTTTCTGCTAGCGTTTTCCTGAGAATTAAATAAGACAGTTCATGAGAACTTGTTAGCAAACTGTAGAACTCATTAAAAAAAAGGGGGGGGGGAGTGAGAAAATGAAAGTAATTATTCGCTAATGGTGTTAGCCCAGCTACAAAATTTAAATTTTTCTCTGAATGCGTTTTTCATATGTTAATCTGACATTCTAATGATAGTTCTGCAATAAATTGTTTTAGGTTTGAGTAACTGTAATGTAAATGTTAATATCCAGAAACAACTTGCTATTCCATTTAATAAAGATATCAATAATGAAGTCTCTAGAAGATAACTTATTTCTATAAATTTGTTATTAATTACAGAGAGAACAGTAGGTATAATGGTCAGAAGAATTGGACAGTATTAGAGGATTTAAATCCACACCATGCTAAGTGCAATGAATAAGAGTCATTTAAAAAAAATAGACTCATCTTAAGAAATTTACCTAACCTCTGATTTTTCCCATCTATAAAAACAGTTTTTAATAGTACCTAATAATAGAGTATGTAAGCTCCATGACATGTAACAATTGTGCAATAAATAAAAGTTACATTTTTTCCTAAATTTAATGAAGAGCCAAGGGAAAACTCAAGATTTTGTATTCTAAGTTGTTTTTCATGTTCTGCCTTATGCATATTTGCTCAAGAAACAGGATAAATTCCCAAATCCTCATCACAGAAAAGATTTGAACATAAAAAATAAAAATATCTTCAGGGTTGACAACACTTGTTCAAATAGCTCAGAGCCATTTTTCTCAACATGAACTTTATAATGTCATCAAGAAGGAGTCAAAAACGCTTATTCCAATAATTCTGCAATTATGATTTCATGAAGACTTTTTCATCATTACTCCATGTATCAGAGAGAAACATCTGATTTTAAATAGCCAGTTTTGAGTCTCTGGTCAAAAGATTGTACTATAATCAGGAAATCTCACAGGATTGAACTTCCCTACATGTCCAAAGTAGGGTGACCTTATCCCCATTCATGCCCAGACAAGAATTAAAACACAGGAGTGTGAAACAAACAAAAGAACCTAACAGTCAAAGCCTAAGCCTACAGAGAAGAAAACAGAATTTCAAGAGAATGTTGGTTGAGAATATTGGCTTGGCTGAGGCACTGCAATGAAGATTAAGAGTTGGCATGGAGGTGGGTATCTACTAGGAAAAAAAGGGAAATACATTCTCTTGGAACACCCTAATAAAATTGTAGATACTTTCTGCTTTTTAAAATTATTTACAAGATCATATTAGATATAAAAATATATAACCCAAGGACTGGAGAAATAGTACAGAAGGTAAGTTGTCTGTTTTATACATGACCAATCCAGATTGGATCTCTGGCATCCTATTTGGACCCCTGAGCCCACCAGAAGCACCTGAGTGCAAAGCCAGATGTAAATCCTGAGCACAGATAGATAGATAGATAGATAGATAGATAGATAGATAGATAGATAGAGGTACATATTTACCCCTTAAATCATCATCATTATCATCATTATCGTCATCATTATCATCCATAACTGTCACCGCGCTGCTCAGAAATTTAGGGTTTAAACCCTGCTATTAACCTTAGTGTTTCATTTTATTTTCCTGCCACAGCCAGGTAAATGGGCCCCAGAGGTCACCTTGTGGATGACTCAGAAAGAAATGTGAACTGACTGCAGACGCACAAGGCACTAGGGGTAAATTTCTGCATTTCTCCCCTCTTCTCCACTTGTCTCCCTAGATTTTTTTAAATTGATATACATGGACTAGAAAGAGCTCTGCTACCTTTCATTCATGGCCTGAAGTGGTCTAATTTATTACATCAATCTATCATGTTATTTTAATTACAGTCAAAATTATTTTAAGTTTCAGGACCGAGTTGGTATATCAAGGCTGTGTTACTGTTTTCTCTTGTCCTGAGATTACCCAAGACCAATGTAGGCCTCTGAAAGAGGACTGATGCAAGGCATTCAGAAGTTACTAAAAGAAGCTCATCAGGAGAACCAAGGACAATAATGACACTGTGGGTGCATTTATCAAGATGGGCAAGTAAGGCTGTGAAAGCAAATTAACTGCACTCAATGGTTTCATGTAATAATAGATTGTTTCTCACCCATGTCACTTCTACTCTACATGTACAAGGACTCCATAATTTCACTAAGTCATTTTACTCTGGTAGCTACATTCTCTGCAACCATATCTGTGCAGGGAAATATTTAGGAGTATACGTAAAACTGACATTTGTAAGAAAGAGGGAAATTGGCTGGGCAGAGAGAAACTTTGAACTACAACAGAGTCACACAAAGAAAGAACATGTCCAATCCTCCCGAGAGTCTAGTGCTCTTTAAAGGAAATTCTTCAGTTATCTCACATTAAGCTAAGGGTCTTAAAGCTTTACTCCTCCATCAATTTTGTCACTGACCTGATCTCAGTGAGAGGCTTTGACCTTGGGTGAGGTGACTGTCTTCTACAGAAGAAATTTCTAAAGAGCAATCAGCTAAAAGCAATCAACTGCCAACTTTCTTAGCTAGAAATACAAAGTTCCTGCTCCTCAATGCAAATCTATGTTTTGTACACCACAACCTACTCTCTAAGCGGAATTAGGGAATCCTGTATATGAGATTTACTGCTTCCACCTGTAAGTCTGATATATTTTGTTCTTATTTGGTGCAAACTAGTCACATGGTCTTACTCTACCGCAAGGAATCTGGGAACAGCTGGAATATTTGGGAGGTATTTTTGTCCCAATGGATATGGTCCTCTTGAGCTTTCTACTTTCAATTTCCAAGAGATTGTGTCTTGGTCCAGATGCCCTTTGGCACTTTGCTGTCTATGCTCTTATAGTAACAGAACTGATTTCTACCTTTGATTTCCCTTTCCAATCTACTGTTTAAGCCTTTCTCTCCAGTCTTAAAATTAGATCCTTCCCCTGAGCCCTTGTCCTAGTCACAGCGAGGCACTGATTCAAACTTTCTAGTGCTTTTTTACTTTTATGGTTCTCTAGTTTTTTTTTTTTTAAAAAAAAAGATTCATTTCTGTACTGACCTAGCACTCACCTTCTAGCACAGGGTTTCCCAAGATAAGGCTTTTATACATCAATATTCTCCATTAATGCAGAATCCTATACTCTATATTATTCCAGTATGTCCTATTACATAGCACTCAGTTCTCTTCAAATTGCCTACTCTCATACTTCACATCATCATTTTAAACATCTTGCCTGGACATGTTCCAATTGCCTCTTGTTGAATCTTTCAGATGAATGTCTCTAACTGCCCATCTGGTTGGATTTCTGGTACTTGAACTGCTGTAACCTTGGGACCACTAAATCGGAACAAAAAGAAACAAATAACTTCTCAACCTTAAAATTATTTGACAGAACATTTCTGTGATCAGCTTTCTTTTGATCACTTGATTCTTTCTTCCTATCCCTGTATATATGAGTTACTTTTTATCATTAGGGATCTATTTACATACTTCATTTAGATAGTGTCCTATTTTTAAGTACCTAGGCCAATTATAATTAAAGCAGGATATGGATCACTACATAGATGGCATTAGTCCTTGGACACTCAGTACCTATTAGCCTACTTTAATAATTGACTGAGACTATCGATTCTTAAATATAGTTTTATGTTTCTATCTTAATGGAACCAATTACTGTTTATAAGTCTGTTGAAGAAGAGCTGGCATCTCAAAACTTGACTTAGAATTTCAGGGACTCAGTAGATAATGAATGACAACCAAATGACCTCTGAGTTTATGGTTATCTGGAACTGGGCTCCTATATGGGTCCAACACAAGTACTGCATGAGT